AAAATAAATAAATAAATAAATAAAATAAAATAAATAAATATTTAAAAAAATTTATGTTAAGAGTGCTTCAGGGCTGGCCAAATAGCTCAGCGGATTAAAGCACCTGCAAGTAGGTTCAATCCCCCCCGGGCCCCGCGCCTGGGGTGCACTGAGGTGGCAATTGAGACTGGGTGTGAGCCTGTAATCACGGCTATCTGAAGGCTGTAAACAGGCAAATCACTACAAGACCGATCTAGTAGTGAGACCCTGAACACCCAGTAGACCCTTCCCTAAAATAAAAATAAAATAAATTTTTAAAAATTAAAAAAGAGTGCTTCACAACATGCCTTTCATCTGTTACATCAAACTCCAGAAGGAGCTATAAAATAAGAGAATTTGGTGCCCTATTACACATGTTAGTCAGAAAAAGACATCCTGAAACAAGTTCCTGCAGCCACCACAGCAAGACTAAGTAGCAGCTGGGAAAACATCCACTAAATTTAAAAAGCCAAGGTAATTTAAAATGAAAATTTGTTGGTTTTTTTTTTTTTTTGGCTGGCTCAGCCAGCCCTGCAGGTGGGGCTGGTGCAGCGTGTGGGGCCTGTGATTGAACCCCAGTCCCCTGTGGCTGCCTAAGCTTGCCTAAGGAGGCGCTTTAAGCTGCTGAGCTATCTTCCTGGCCCTAAAATGAAAAATTGGAACAAGAAACCTAAACGGTGTGGTGGCACACATCTATAGCAGCAGCATTTCAGAGGCTGAGGCAGGAGGACCAGCCTGGGCTGCATAGTGAGACATTGTCTTACCCGGGGAAAAAACAAAAACGTAAATTTGACCTACATTGGCTATAGATGAGACACATGAACAACTCCAACAGGCAAAGTTTGAGGGAATAGAAGGACAACCTACAAGAAATACTAGTTACTCTGGGATGGGGTGGGTTGAAAGCAGAATTTGACTGGTCCCACAGAAGAACAGCTGAAAGGATTTTAAGTGCACCGTAATTTTTTTTTTTTTTTTTTTTTTTTTTTTTGGCAGAACCGGGGATTGAATTCAGACCCTTGTGCTTGCCAGGGGAGCACTTATTCTACTGAGCCATGTCCCTGGCCTGTGCTCCGTAATTGAGAGCAAGGATCTTTGACTCTGGAAGCTGATCCTGGAAGGCTGGAGGCAGAGATGCGGTCAAACTGAGCTAATCACCATGGGGACAGAGGAAAAATACTGTGGGCCTTTAACCTGTTACTTTTTTTTTTTTAATATTTATTTATTTGTGTGTGTGTGTGTGTGTGGCCAGCTCAGCCCACCAGGGGGCGTTCTGGCTGGCATGTGGTGCTGGGGGATCAAACCGCGGTCCCTGTGCTTTTTGCTAAGCTTGTTCTAAGTAGGTGCTTTAGACCACTGAGCCATCTCACCAGCCCCAAACCTGTTACTTACTAAAAGTGTGATTTGAGCAAGGCTGGTGGCACATCCCTATAATCCTAGCACTCTGGAAGGCAGGAGGATCAAAAGGTCAAATTCAGGGCCAGTGAGATAGTTCAGCAGCTTAAGTGCTTGCCTAACAAGCTCAAGGTCCTGAGTTCAATCCCTGATTTTTTTTTAAAGTCAAATCCAATCCGGAGCAATTTAGCCAGACTCTGTCTCAAAATTTAAGAAAGGACAAGAGCTGGAGCTTGATGCAAAAAAGGTTCAATCTCTAGTACCACAAAAACAATTTTTTTTTTTTTTTTTTTTTTTTTTTGTGGCAGAACTGGGGATTGAACTCAGGCCCTTGCACTTGCCAGGCAATATTCTACTGAGCCATCTCCCTGGCCCCTAGAAATTTTAAATTTATTTTTCAAGAGCTCAGGTCAGTCATTTGACAGAAAGTCCCTCAGTATGGATTTGTTTGATTGTTTTTGCAATAAATATCATGCTATGGAGCCTGGGGAGATAGCTCAGTAGAATAAGCGCTTGCCTGGCAAGCTGCAGGATCCTGAGTTCAATCCCCAGTACTGCAAAAAAGAAAAAAAAAATCATGCTATGGGAGGTGAGGTAAAAGAATTGAGATGTGTTCTGTGCCCATTCCAATTCTCTATAATGAATATAATTTTCCTGTACAGTCACATGTACTAATGAAAATTTAAAATTAAAAAAATTAATCTACAGGTCCCTAATAAAATGTATATAAAACTTTTTTAAAAAACCATGCTAAGGGGGCCAGGGAGATGGCTCAGTGGAATAAGCACTTCCCTGGCAAGTGCAAGGGCCTGAGTTCAATCCCCAGTTCCGCCAAAAAAAATCATGCTAAGAGCCTGGAGCAGGGGCACATGCCCAAATTCCTAGCACTTCAGAGGCTGAGGCAGGAAGATCACCATGTGTTCAAGGTCAGCCTGGGATACTAGTGAGATCTTTTTTTCTTTTTCTTTTGCAGAACCGGGGATTGAACTCAGTCCCATGCGCTTGCCAGAAAAGTGCTTATTCCACTGAGCCATCTCCCCAGCCCCCCATAATGAGATCTTCTCTCAAGAAAACAAAAGCTGAAACAACAAAACAAAAATTCTGTTGCAGTGATCTTTCACCCAATGGTTTTATCATCTACTGATGATTCTTACCTGAGCTTTTTTTTTGTTGTTGTTTGTTTGTTTGTTTGTTTTTTTCTGAATCCTTTTTTTCAGACAGAGTCTCACTGGCCCTGAATTCACCATGTGGTCCAGGCTGGCCTTGAATTCTTGGTAACCCTCCTGCCTCAGCCTCTCAAGTGCTGGAATTACAAGTGTGCACCACCACACTAGGGTAAATTGAAGTTACTTAAAATATATCAATATCGGGGCCAGGGAGATGACTCAGTGTAATAAGGGCTTCCCTGGCAAGCACAAGGGCCTGAGTTCATTCCCCAGTTCTGAAAAAAAAAAACTATATATATCCACAAAAGCACTGTCTTAGGTATAACTACATCCAGCTGTTGTTTGGTACAGAGCAAATTCTAATATACACAGCAATCAGAGATAACTTCTCTCTAAATTCTCTTTACATCATTGAAATATTTTGCTATCTTGATTGTTTTCTATCCTTCTATAATTTCTTTCCAGTACTGTATCGGAGATCAGATTTACTGCCACACACGTGCTAGTCCTAGCATAAACCTTTTTCACGGACTTGACTTTGAGCTCAAGGGCCTGAAACACTCTTTTTTCAGTACCAAGAATCGAACTCAAGAGCGTACGCCTCTGAGCTCTCTCCTCAGCCCACATTCTTTTTTTCTCAAACCTGCTTTTTGCTACGTCTAGGGCTTCGCTATTGATTTATTTATTTATTTTGCGAATGGAGGATTGAATCCAGGCCCTTCCCAGGGAAGCGCTTATTCCAGAGCCATCTCCCCGACCGGGTAGGGCTTCGCTATTAAGGAGCAGATGCTAGACAGAGCCATGGGTCCAATGCGGAGTGCGAGGAGCTCCCTCTAGCGGGAGAACAACAGGCCCCTGCGCTTGCCAAGCAAGCGCTTATTGTACTGAGCTATCTTCCCGGTCCCCCTGCCCTGGTTTTGAACTCATCCAGCAATGTAGTTAAAACAGGAATGCAGCACATGAGGCACAAACCAGGAAAAAATCTTCAACCTCCTTTCAGCCCAGAGTCATGCTGAGTAACAGCCATGGATTATTCCATTTTAATGTCCTCACATAAAATATGAATATAATATAACATGCCTGAATACTGCTGTGGAAACTGAGAAAAAAATTAGATAAAAATCCCAGTTTTAGTCATCTATGATGGTGCATGCCTGTAACACCAACTTATGGGAGGCTGAGGCAGGAGCATCACTGTGAGTTCGAGATCAGCCTTGGCTACATAGTGAGACCCTGTCTTAAAAACAAAACAATTAGGGGCTGGGGAGATGGCTCAGTAGAATAAGCATTTCCCTGGCAAGTGCAAGGGCCTGAGTTCAATTCCCGGTTCCGCCAAGAACAAACAAACAAACAAAACAATTGGGCAGTGAGATAGCTCAGCAGCATAAACATCTCCCTGGCAAGTGCAAGGTTTGGGGTTCGATCCTCAGCACCACATACATCACTGATTAGAGGAGCTCATCTCGGTCACCTTCCTATGTTGGTCTCCAGTTCCTGCAGATCTGCAATGACTCCAGCTTTCCAGCTGTTCATCTTTCCAGACAGGGTCTCAGTAATTGCCCTGGTTGGGCTACAACTTGTCCTGCCTCAGCCTAGGATTACAGACATGTGCCACCATGCTCAGTTTAGTTACTTCTGTCTGTCTGTCTGTCTGTCTGTCTGTCTGTCTGTCTGTCTGTCTTCAAGCATAGGGAGCCCTTTCCAGTCCTTGTCATGGCTCAGAGAATAAAGACTCTAAGGTATATTTATACTCACGAGGAGCCAAGGGGCCCAAGTCCAGCCATGATGATGGCTCTCCAGAGCAAAGATTTTGTCCCAAGGCAGACCCTGAGTTTTATTCATTTATGAAAAAAGGAGTAGCTTGAGGATGAGGACTGTGAGAACGGCGGGAGGCAGGTGAGTGCTGTGAGCTGGGCTAGGAAGGCAGCCGGAACTCACCTCTGCAACATGCAGAGAAGGGTGTGCAGAAAGAGTAACCCGCAATACACCACTGAGATAATGTCTGATGTTTTGGGGTCAAAACTTCCGCCCTGATGTGTAATCTCTTAAGGTCCAGGAAGTTATAGCCTCCACTCAGCTGAGGCCCACTGCAACAGCGTGGCTCTTCATCCCACCTGGTCCTGGCTCACACCAGGGGATGTGGAGGGTTGAGGGAAACACTGTCTTCTGTCTTCAAAAACTACCATCAGCACCTCCCTAGAATGACAGACATTGCTTAAAGCCAAATGAAGTGATAAGGAAAAATCCTAGCCAGCTCTGTACATAGCTATACATGGAAACAGGGTCAGGCTCAGCCAAAATGGGGACAATTGGTCTTCCTCCAAGTTGAGTCACCCAGGCGGTCCTCTACATCAGGGCCTCACTATGCTGGCCTCAAACTCACAGTGATCCTCTTGCATCAGCCTCCCCAGTCCTAGGATACAGGTATGCTCTACCATGCCCTGTCCAGCTATTTGTTTTTGTTTGTTTACTAATGTATTTGATATAGGGTCTCACTCTATGCAGCTTGGACTCCTAGTGACCCAATTTTCAGCCTCCCCAGTGCTGGGATTACAGGCATGTGCCACCACACCCAATCTTGGTGGCCAGCTCAGCATACCTGGGGGCGGGGCCGGCGCCACACGTGGTGCTGGGGATTGAGCCCTGGTCCCTGCACTTGCCTAAGTAGTCCGCTGAGCTATCTTGCCAGCCCTGTGGGTTTTTTAAAAAAAATTTATTTGTGTGTGTGTGTGTGTGTGTGTGTGTGTGTGGCCAGCTCAGCCCACCAGGGGGCAGGGCTGGCTGGCATGTGGTGCTGGGGGACTGAACCGCAGTCCCTGTGCTTTACCAAGCTTGTTCTAAGTAGGTGCTTTAGACCACTGAACCATCTCACCAGCCCCCCTGTGGGTTTTTTTTTTTTTTCTTTTCTGTTTTTTGTTTTGTACTTTATGGAAGCGTCTACAGGCTGTTCAGGGTTTCACTACTAGATCGGACTTGTAGTGATCTGCCTGTGTACAGCTTCCTAAGAACTGGGTCTCAATCACTGTCTCAGCTTGTCCCAGGGACGGGGCCAGCACAGCAGGCTCTGGCTTCCAATCCCCAGCCCTTGGGCCCTTGCACCTGCTTGCTGGCACTTTAATCCACTGAGCTTGATGTGGACATGGCCATAAAAAAAATTTTCCCACTAGGTTTGTGTCTGCTATCTTGTTAGCAATCAACCTGTTGGGAACATTGCATTGCCTAGGTGAACACTACAATATTATTTACAATAGCCATATTTAAAATTATTGCTCACCACAAGGCACACTTATGATCTTTCCAGGCTTGGGTTCTCTAGTTTGGGAGGAGGCAGTAATGGGGGTTACTTCAGACCTTTTGCCTTGCCAGGGAGGTGCTTATGCTGCTGAACTATAATCAATGAAGCAGAAAACCTAGACTGCCTCCAGAACTCACAGATGACTATTTTATAGGGCAGATGGGATGGCTGGATTAAACTTGTTCTTTTGAAAAGGGCTACTCTGAAGACAGCCTCTTTAAAGTGACCCTAATGAGTATTAAATCACATGAAATTTCTTTAAAATAAAATTCACTTATTTTTTTTATTTTATTTTAGGAACTGGGAATTGAACTCGGGC